ATCAAGCAGAAGTTTCTTAGCAATGATGGTAGGAGAGTCTGAAAATGGCAATGAGGAGCAAGAAATATTCAGTATCTCACTGCACATAATGAGTTTAGAGCATGAATGAAAATATAGCCAGGACTGGAAAGGGTGATGAAGGATGCAGTGTCATCTGGAGGGAGCCAGGTCTCAGTGAATGCTGGAAGGAGCAAGAAAATGGTCTAAGATGAAAATAACTTTGTTAGTTACGGAGCAGAAGATCCAGAGAATGCAGAAGAAGGGGGTCATTTGATTATGGAGTAAGACATTGGGAAGGCTGAGGTGGTTATAAATGAGGCAACAGACAGTTGGAGGTTCAGTTTCACTATGGCAAGGATAGTAAGGGGAAATGGGAAGCACATTAGCAAGTGAGGAATGAAGCCAGGAAGAGCATCGTAAGACTGGCTAATCAAAGCAGGTGATTGGTAAGTTTAAAACTGATCCTCAAGGTTTGGGCACAGCCCTCAACTGTCAAGTCTACAGTGTTTTTGTGTCTTGGCATCTGGAAGCCTGCCTCATAGCAGACATGGGCGAGAGGTCATGTGTTCATGTTGGCTACCTCCTCCAGGACGCCTTTCACACAACCAGGAAGCTGTCCTGGCTCCTGGGCCAGTTTGGGGCAAATCTGGCAAGTATTGCAGCGCTCTTGAAATCTAGAAAGGAGGCAAGTGGTGCTGTGATCCAAGCCCAGATGGAGCCAGCCATGAAAGGGGCCCAGCCATGCTGTAGCCCTTAAGGCATCTGGAAGCCTAGCAAGGAGAAAAGAGGTGATATCTTCCCTTCTTTCCCTCCCAGCCACCCCCAGCCATGAGCAGGGCATGGCTGTCTTGTGACCAGACCAAAAGCATGAATTTTAGAAGTAAAACATTTAATTAGGATTCAAACATCTGGCAATGGAATAGAGAAACAAACTCGCAGAGATTACAATCTAAAGCAATCAACTGAGACTCATACTTCAGAGCAAGGAAAGATCTTTTTGTCTCTCACTCTCCCACTACAATCAAAATAAGATGAGCATAGCCTCCCATATGTGTGCTGGTAATTTTTGTTTTAATTTAAAAATTTTTAAATTACTGGCTCTCTGTTCAATTTAATCTGCATTATTAACATTTGCTCTATCACTTTTTGAAGTCTAGAAATCAACAAAACAATAAACCAAGTCCTGATTTATAGTAATTTGCTGATTTCTGAAATGTGAATGCTCACACTGAAAATTTGTGCTCCAGTACAACTCTGTTTTCAGGAATTCTTGAACTTGAAAATTGTTCCAACTCCCTCCCTATCTCCTCTGGGAACTCAGGAACATGCTGGGATTCCTGGGTTCCTGAATGCCACACACTCTCCATGTGGCCCCTAATCTCAGAGGTCTCCACTAAGCTCTCTTCTTTCTTTTACCCCAAAGTCCCTGTCAAGCTCCACTATAATCACTCTATCTTCCCTGCCCACAGCTCCTCATGATGCAATCACCCATCACCCAGGAGCACATGTGTAGTGTTCCACAGGAAATGGAGTCCCCAGGAGGTCTCCCAATGAGCTCTCAGGGCTCAGGTGCCAAGGAAAATATAGTTGTGTTGGAAATATAGTTCATACCCTCAGAGATGCCCCTATCCAATATAAAATAAAGGGGAGGTGGAGTGGTAGACTCAGTCAGTGGTTCTCAAACATTTTGAACTCAGAATCCCTATACACTCTTTTTTTTTTTTTTGCTTTTGTTTTTAGGCAGTTGGGGTTAAGTGACTTGCCCAGGGTCACACAGCTAGTGAGTGTCAAGTGTTTGGTCTGAGGCCGCATTTGAACTCAGGTCCTCCTGATTTCAAGGCCAGTGCTCTATCCACTGTGCCACCTAGCTGCCCCTATCCCTTTACATTCTTAAAAATTATTGTTGAGGCCCTCTTTCTCTCCCTTCCCCTATCAAAAAAGTTTTTGTTTATGTGAATGTTTATCAATATACACCACATTAGAAATTAAAAGAGAGAAATTTTAAAAATATGTGTTAATTCATTTTAAAATAATAAACCCACTATGTATTAACATAAATAACATTCTTTTATTTTTAAAAAGGTATATTTTCCAAATCATAAATTTATTGAGTGCCATTATTTTATATTTCTTTTGCAAATTTCTTTAATGTCTGGTTTAATAGAAGGCAGATGGAGTTTCCTATCTGTTTCTGTATTCAATCTACTGTGATTTTTTTTTTGTTGAAGTATATGATGAAAATCCAGTCTCACCCAGATGTGTAATTGGAAAAAGGAGTATTTTAATAGGCAAATATCACCTTAGTATTATTATGAAAAATAGTGACCTCAAGGACAAAACTATTGTTCCCCCCAGGGGTCTATGGACCAAACTTTGAAAACCATTGGACTAAGTGATAGATAAGGTTCTTTCTAACTCTAAAATCCTGTGATTCCATATCTCTAAGTATAATCCTGACTTTTCCTCATTTCTGCCCTCTTAGCAAGCTGGTGTGCAAAAAAATTTGGGCATTGAAAGCAAGCCAAGCAGTTTCTAGGAAAATATATGTTTTTCAACATGATTCTTCCCCAAAAAGGCTCAGAAAAAAATCAGGTTTTGAAGCTGGAAGGTACCTTGTTTTTAAACCTCTTTATTTTATAGGTAAGGAAATAGAGGCCCAGAGAAGTTTATTGCCTAGTTTAGGATTATTTGGTCCATGATGGAACCAGGAACTAGAACCTAAGCTTCCCAACTCCCAACTGGGGGCGGGGAAACAAAACACATTTGTTTGTTTATTTTTCAGAACACTTTATGGAGTCACTCATCAGTGATATCTAGGATAAAGTATCATAGCCCAGAGGAGGAACAGGAAAAGAAAGTTAAAAGACTTTAATGCTTCATTGTATTGAAGAAGTTTTAATATGGTTGTAAGTTTTTCAAATACTTTAATTCCCTGTATCTTATTACTTGTTGGCCTTGTACCCTGAGGTTATTTTGTGAAGGCTGCCACGGTCAAAATTAAATGAATAAATTGAGTGAAGAAGACAGTAGTGGGACTGTTGAGAGAACACTAAGCTCAGGGCAAGGAGGAAAGATGGAATAAATGACCTGGGGCTGTTCCTAAGTACCTTGTTCCATGTCAGGAAGATATTGCATAGAAATGTTTTGGCAATTTGGTCCTATCCCAAGGGACTTTAGGATATCTAGATCCCATTTCCCCCCGGTTTGATCCTAAATCCTCTGGCAGAGTGTATGAGTAGGAGAGGGGCTATTCCAGGTTCCAGTGACCTGAAGGTATCCTCTTCATACTTATCTATCCAGGCCCCAGCCTCTCCCCTAGGGGCTGGGAGATCTAGGTTCTGGATTTGGTTCCATGATTGACTGTAATCTTTGTTGTTTATTTTTGTTCAGTTGTTCTTACAATCATGTCCCACTCTTCATGATTCCATTTGGGGTTTTCTTTGGCAAAGATACTGGAATAGTTTGCTGTTTCCTTCTCTAGCTCATTTTACAGATGAGGAAACTGAGGCCACATTTAACCACAGTTAAATGTCTTGCCCAGGGTCACACAGCCAGGACATGTCTGAGTCCAGATTTGAACTCAGAAAGATGAGTCTTCCTGACTCTATGCCCAGTGCCTCATATACACTGTGCCATCTATCTGCCTCATGTAATCTTAGGCTAGGTAATTAACTTCTTTGGGCCTCCATTTCCTGATCTATAAAATACAGAACTTAACTGATAATATGCCTTCTAGTTCCAAAATCTGATTTTCCTGAGCATTTCTGTTGGGTCAAGTTGAAAGCCAGAGTTTGCCCCCTAACTAATCCAGAACTGTTCAAAAGCCAAGACTATTTCTAACCAGTGCCAAGCTGGGCTTCTATTGAAAATCAGTCATATGCCGGGGAAACATATGATCACTTCTGGGTTTTAATTAGGATATCTTTGGGCATGTTTGTGTATATGTTAAGATGGTGACTAAGTCTACCTAAGGATCACTAATGGGAACTATTTAGATCCCATTATAATCCTGTTGTTACTCAGTTACAGATATTCTGGCATAAATTGGAGAAAGGGTTTTTTCTAAAACTCTGAACAGGGATGTCCTTTTGTAAAGGTCTAGAAATGTCAACAAGGTACTTCTTATTTAGATGAGAAAGACAATGAAATAAGTCTTCAAAAACAATTGTTGGCAGAGGATCAGACATTTGGAGGTACTATTCTTAAGAACATGTCTTTTTCAGAACCTGGTATGCACATGTGACAGGGAACTATTTTTCTAGTTTGTATGGGGAGGGGTCAGGAGCCATATTTATAGTATGTACAAGATTTATGAGATTTGGCAACAGGTTGGCTATGCGGGGAGAGTAAGAGAAGGATGTTGAGAATGACATTGAAGATGGGAATGTGAGTAACTGGGAGAATAATGGTGTCCTTCACATGTGCACAGTAATATAGATACAGAGCTGGAAGGGACCTCATAGGCTCTCTATTCTAACTTTCTTATTTTACATATGAGGAAACTGAGGCCTAGGGAAAGTTAAATGATTTGCTCAAGGTCACACAAGTAATAACATCAGAGGTAGGATTTGAATCCATGCCCAATAACTCCATAGCTAGCCCTCTTTCCATTGGACCACATGTTATCTCCCCTGAGAGAATGTAAGTTTCTTGGGGGTAAGGGCTATTTCATTTTTTGTCAGTCAATAAACCTTTATTAAACAGTGCCAGGCACTGAGGATACAAAAAGAGACAAAAGATGGTCCTTGCACTGAAGGAGCTTACAATCTAATGGGGGAGACATAAAAACAAATATACACAAAGCAAGTTACATACAGGATAAATAAGAAACGCTTTTGTCTTTTTATCTGTAGGACATTTTTGTTCAGTAATTTTTTCAGTCTTGTCCAAAACTTCATGATGCCATTTGGGGTTTTCATTGACAAAGATACTGGAGTGATTTGCTATTTTCTTCTCCTGGTCATTTTACAGATGGGGAAACTGAGGCAACCAGGGTTAAGTGACTTGCCCAGGGTCACACAGCTAGTAAGTGTCTGAGGCCAGATTTGAATCCAGGTAGATGAGTCTTCCAGTCTCCAGGCCTGTCATTCTATATATTGCACCATCTAGTTGCTCTTCCCTCCTCGTACACAGGTAAGTACTAACAAATGTTTGTTGATGAATTGATTTTTGTTGAATTTTCAATTGATGATCTCACTTATTTCAATTTTTCTTTCAAGATCATGTCACAGAATCTCCATTAGAAAATACTTCAGAGGTCATTCAACCTATACCTGAATAGTTCACCCACTCCACAAAACTTCAAACCTAATTGCTAAACTTATGTCCTCATATTTCCTCTTTCTTTCAAGGAAATAAAAGGATGTACACGTAAAAAAGTACATAAAAGATAAATATAGAGTTGATGGAATGTAATCTCAGCAGGCAAGGCACTGGAGGGCACACGTGGTGTGCATAAGGAGGCTGGTAAACCATTATGGTGGACTGGAGGATGTGTGGAGGGAGAAATGTAGGAAGGGAAAGGTAGGAAGGGGCCAGGTTGGGAATAGCTTCAAATTCCAAATAGAGGATTTCTTATTTGATCCTCAAGGTAACAGGGAGCCATTGGAGTTTATTGAATTTAGAGGGAAAGGGAAGAGGTGGCATGGTCACACCTAGACTAAAGGAAATCACTTTGGTAATTGTGTGTAAAGATGGATTGAAAGGGAAAGAGGCAAAGATGCCAGTGAGGCTTTGCAATTGCCTAGGCAAGAGATAATAAGGACCTGAACCTCAGTGGGGGCTGTATAAGTGGAGAAAAGGGATCATACATGAGAGATACAGAGAAATGCAAGATTTGGCAATGGATTGGACGTGTGGGGGTGGGTAAAAGAAGAGCATTGAGGATGACGCCAAAGTTTACAATGTGGGTCACTGGAAGAATAATGTTCTCTACAGTAATAGGGAAATTCAGAAGAGGGATAGGATTTTCGGGGGAAGATAAGGAATTCTGTTTTGTCATATTGAGTCTGAAATGCTATAAAGTACATCTAGTTTGAAGTGTTCAATAGACAATTGTTAATGCAGGCCTGAAGCTGAGAGAGACTAGGGTGGGATTTATTGATATGGGAATCATTTTATAGGGATGATATTTAAATCCATGGGAACTGAGGAGATCACCAAGTGAGCAAGTATACAAGAGACAGACAGACAGACAGAGACAGACAGACACAGAGAGAACAGGAGCTAGGACAGAGCCTTGCGGATGTGACATGGATTGGGGGGTAGAGAACAGAACATTGGTCAGGAAGAACTGAGTTTGAATTCTGCTTCAGACTCTTACTATATGTGTGATTCTGGGCAAGTCAAATATCTTCTCATGGCCTCAGTTTCCTTATCTGTTAAATGGAGATTATAATAGTACCTACTTCTCAGGGTTGTTGTAAGGATCAAATTGGAGGCCTTAGGTAGATTAGGTGACTTAGACAGGTAATCCTTGAATGAAGGAGTGATGTAGTGGGATAATCAGTGTAATACTCTTTACAAACCATAAAGGGTTACACCCGTGTCTTAAAGAAATGTTATTTGGCTAAATGTAACTAGAAGAAAAGTTATATTTTACACACAGACATTTGTCAATTTTTAAATGGGGTGGGGAGAATAAAGAGAAAAGGAAAAAAAGCTATTAGTGTTGTTTTTATTGTTGTTATACAGCAAAGGAGATGGAAGAGATAGCAGACAGGTAGAAAAAGAACCAAGATGGACAGAGTCATGAAAATCCAGAGGGGAAGGATTATCCAGAAGGCGGTCAGTAGTGTCAAATATGGCAGAGAAGTCAAGAAGGATGAGGACTGAGAAAAAGCCATTCAAGTAAGCTGTTCAGAGATCACTGGTGACTCCAGAGGACACTTTGAGTTGAATGATGACTCAGGAAGCCGGACTGCAAAGGGTTATGATGAGAATCAGAGTAGGGGCACTGAGTGTACATAACTTTTTCGAGGAGTTTAGCTGACAAGGGTTGGGGGGAAGATATAGGATGGTAGCTGGCCAGCATGGTATGATCTAATTCCTTTTTTTAAAGAATGACTTGAACACATTAAGAGGAGGAGGAAAAGGAAGGAGACAGAGAACAATTGAAGATTAGAGACAGAGGGATGATAGAGGGGGCAATCTGCTGGATGAGGGGAAGTGGACGGGATCAGAGAACATATAGAGGGTTTGGCCTTGGAAAGCAGAAGGGTCATCTCATCATCAGAGACTGGAGTGAAAGAGAGAGATGGGGGATAATGTTACATGCATGTGAGGAGGAGAGAAGAGGGAACTCAATTTTATCAGCGAAATAGGAAGGGAGGCCCCTAGTTGAGAGAATGTGTGGAAAGTATGTTGTAGGAAGCTTGAGGGTAGAGGAGAAGGTTGAGAACAGTTATTGGTTTTCAACTGTCTTTTCTTCTCACCTCAATGACTAGCCTGGTGCTAATGGCTTTGAATGGCAGAAAAACATACTTGCTCATCAAACTTATGTGAACTCTAACAGTGTAATAAAATATGGCCTATGGTACAGTGCAACAGGCTTAGGAGATGTGATGTTGCTGATGTAGACCAGTTTTTGAATTTCAGCACCTAACCTGCTAACACAGAGGCCTCTACCTTTCATTGTAGAGTAGTTATGGTTCTTTTTCAGCTGCAGAAATTTCTCCCAGGGAGCAGCTAGGTGGCACAGTGGATAAAGCACCGGCCCTGGATTCAGGAGGACCTGAGCTCAAATCTGGCCTCAGACACATAACACTAGCTGTGTGATCCTGGGCAAGTAACTTAACCCCCTTGTTTAGCCAAAAAAAAAAAAAAGAAATTTCTCCCAAAGTAGTAATGGCTCTCTTCCACATTTCTCAGGGTATTGGAACCTAACCTGGGGTTCTAAGTAATGCAGGTGTTTAACCAACCAATCAGGCCGTTGGGTGGTTAAATAATCAAACACCTGGGATAAGTTGGCTTTCCAATTATGGCAGGGTGGTAGGCAGTTAGTTGGCAAACTGCTTCATGGTTTGGTGGCATGGAATACTGTCCCCTGACCCCAAGCTAAAAGGGAAGAAGCAGGCAGAAGAAGAAATCCATAAGTGTCCACACAACCATTGTTAAACATATCTTCCTGAATGGGAGACTGAGAATTTATTTTGCTTGATTACACATATTTGACACAAGGATTTTCTTTTCTTTTCTTTTTTTCCAGTGAGGGGAAAGATAGGAGGAAAAAAACTAAATGCTTGTTAATTGAAAAATAGTGAATTAAAAATAAAGACAGACCTAAAGAAAAAAAAAGAAATAAAATTTGAGTTCAAGTGGGCTCTGTAACGCAACTGTATCAGGAACCACTTCTGTCAGATATTTTGTATGATTCAGTTTTTGAAGATTTTTTGCGTCCACTTTCTTTTCTCTATAATCTCCCCTGCACAGTACCCTTAGATTAATCTTTTTCCAAAAAAGATCTCCTTTTATCATGTCACTGCCCTGCTTAGGAAAAGATAAAGTCCCAAATCCTTTATTTGATGTTCCAACACCCTTCCCCCAAACCCGAAGTTCCTGTTCCAAGCCTTCTCATCTCTCCTCAAGCCTCTCACATGACATCCTGATTCCCAGGACCTTGCCTTGTACTTCACCAAAAAATTGAAACTATTTGCTGAGAACTCCCTCTTCTCCCTTACTCCTCATCTCATATCACTCAGAAATCTTTCTCCATTAGCTCCCCCTTTGATCCTATCTCAGATTAAGAGGTGCCCTTCTCCTTGCCAAAGCAAACTTCTCTGCATGCACCCTTGATGCCATCCTCTCCCAGCTTCTTTAGCATATTGTCCTCATTTTCCTCTCCCTCTTATCTTCACTTTCTCCTTACCAATTGGCCCTTTCCCTGCTGCATACCAATATGTCCATGTCTCCCCTCTCCTTAAAAAACCTTTCACTTGATCCAACTTTCCTCACTAATTATCACTCTATATCCCTCTTCCTTTTCATGGTTGAACTCCTTGAGAAAGATATCTACAATCTGTGCCTCTACTTTCTCTCCTTTTACTCACTTCTAAGCCTTCTGAAATTGGACTTCCAACTTCATTGTCCAACTGAAACTGCCTTCTCCAAAGTCACCCAATGATTTCTTGATTGCCAGATCTAATAGTCTCTCAATCCTGATCCTCTGTGACCCCTCTGCAGCATTCCACACCTCCTCAATACTCTCTCTAGGTTTTCATGACACTGCTCTCTTCTAGTTCTCCTCCCACCTGTCATGCCAATCTTTCTCAATCTCATTTTCTGGTTCTTCATTGATGGTATGCCCTCTAGCCGTGGATATCTTACAAGGCTCTGTCCTGGGACCCTCCTCCCCCCTTTTTTTCATTTTATGCCAGTTACTTGTTCCTCAGACATGATGCTGTACCTGTCATTTTTGTGTCTTTGCACTGGCTGCACTGCCCCTCCACCCCTCCCCCCAGCCAGCATGCACACCTGGAATTCTTTGATCCCTCACCTCTGCCTTCTGTTTTCTTTCATGATTCAGCTCAAACCCCATCTTCTTTAGTAGGTTTTTTTCTGGTCCTTCCAGTTGCCAATGCCTCTGTCTTTCAGATTATCCTTATCTACTATGTATATCTTGTGTATCCCTAAATATTTTCATGGTGTCTCCCCTGTTAGTATATATCCTCCCTTGAAGTAAGGACTGATTTTTTTTTTGCCTTCCTCTGTTATTATTGAGGCATGGCACATAATAACTACTTAATAAATGTGGATTGACTGATCGTGGAGATATTTGACATTTGCCCACAAACTATTGGACTACCTTGGGCTGTGTTCCATAGTTTTCATTTTTAGTAATTTCATCTAGAAGGGATGTATTGGGGGTGGAAATAACCTTATAACACATTCCTTAGCTTGTGGTAAAAGAGAAATCCAAATATCTCAATCAAAGGCTGGCCAGAACTTGACTCAGTGTTGGAGAAGAATGAATGAGCATTTCCTGCTTAAGTGCCTCAAATCTCTTCTCTTATCTGACCATACTCCCTGCTGTTTAGTTTCTCATCCTGACTCTAAGGCCATCATTCTATCCAATGTGCTGCCTAGGGAGGGTATGAGCAGTTACAAAAATTAGGAAAGGTCTTTTATTTAAAGAT